GACTTCAGATGGTCTTCATTTGCTGACTAGATTAAGGAGTTCAGTGGTTTATTAGTGCCCCTAACCTAGCTGCCTGCCTTATAGCACATACACATTCTCTCTGGAGGAATATAGCATCATATAAAGTCTCTTGACGATTACTATATACAGTGTCTGGTGATCAGTAATAACCAGGCAAACAAGGAGGCAGGATGTAACCAAAATCCAAAAGAAAAACAGACAAGCCAGACAGACCCACATGGGAAAATGGAGTTTTCAGACACAGACCACCATTCATATTTTCAGAAATTAAAGGACAAGATGAAAAGTGTTTACGGAGAACTAGAAACAATAATAATGAGCCAAAAGAAATTTAAAGGATTAAGAAACACTATCTGAGCCATAAAAAAAAATATACAGGATATGAGAGTTTGAGCACTGATCTAAACATTGTGAGTGCAGATGTAGCATAAACAGCACCAGTGCAATAAATTGAAGACTGTCCCGGTTGATAGCAGAGCACAAAGCATTTGGCAGAAGTAATGAAATTTCTCTTTGTGGACCACAAAGGACAGCAAAGATTATAGCTATTGAAGAAAGGCTGAGAGAATTGATGAGGTTTAATTAGCTTCAGTAATGACTTGGACCTTCAAGAGCTCTTACAAATGTGAATTGACCTATCAAAATCTCCAATCTGACAAGTTCAGACAGGGAAATGCTGAGCGACAGTATAGTAGCTTCCATAATCTATAGAATCAGGTAGATCTGGGCTTGATACCTGGCTGTGCTTTTTTTTTTTTAATTGAAGTACGGTCAATTACAATGTCAATTTCTGGTGTACAGCACAATGTCCCAGTCATGCATATACATACATATGTTCATTTTCATATTTGGGTCTGCTTCTTTACTGGGTGAGTGACCTTGGACTAGCTACTAAACTCTCTGAATAACAAGGCCCTCATTTTTAAAATACGGATAATAATTGGTTTGTTGAAATTGTTAAGAAAATTAGAAAATGCATATGAAATTCCAAAGCATAGCAGTACCATGGAGTAGGCATGATAGTTCACTCACAGAGTTGTTGGCACAGAGACGTCTCCAACCACTCTTCTTTCCTCTCAATACACCTAGAGTCCTTTCCACCCTGTTGCCTTTAATCATATTCATGTAATTAATTACCATCACCTGGAATTAATGTATTTTAATATATTATCTGGAGTACATTTTAATACATATCTGAAAGTGAGGGTATTTTGAAGCATCACTGATGTGAATTTATTCCAAAAGTACCAAAAATGACCTTTTTACTTTTCTCACAATATGTCCAGAATAAAATATCAGTAGGAGCTGCCTGTTCAAACTAAAAATCTATTAGTTTTTTTTTTAATTCCTTGCCAAGGAGAGAGGGTTACAGCTTTATATCTGTGTGGCTGGTAGCCTCCCTTGTGATAAGCAAGACAGCTTAGCAGGGTCCTGAGTCACCAGCAAGACCCCCAACTGCTTCAGTCAATGCACAGAATGCTGGCAGAGGAAAAGCTTTTGAATTTATTATCCCAAACCTTTATTTTGGGGGGCCATCTTTTCTTTCTTCCACACTGTCTTCTTTTAAGTGTAAAGTTCTACTGTACCATATTGAAAGACAAATATCATGAGATATGCACCATTTTAAAAGAATGTCTATATTTCAGATTATTTTGAAATACCCCTCATGGCTAAAATGAGAGTATCATTGGCCAAGAGACTTTCATTAACCTAAAAAACATATTAGAGAACGATTTTTATATCAAAAATACATTATATGAGCATGTTCAATTTTTAGTCTATGTACTTCAAATATTAGTACTTAGGAGAATTTTAACATGTTTCCTTTTATAAGAAAAAGAAATTGAACCTTTGTTCTTTACTTAAAACTATTTAGATGTTTTGTGCCTGAACCCTCCTTATGTATTTTCTGCCTCAATTTTAACATCTCATTCTTATAAGGATAGTTTTCCTCCTGGTTATCGTCAGAAAATTGGCAATATTCTTAAAGAATGAAATTTGTTTTATTTTCTGCATTAAAATAATAGTTTGTCTTACAGTAGTCTTTCTAAATATCAGGGAAAACACTGTTGAGCTGGATAGTCCTACAACAACTTAAGCAAACAAAATACATTTTGCAGTTTTATTTATCATCACAAGCAAAACATTCTCTTTACAACCTCTTGCTACTCTCTTACTGGAAAGAAATCTTAATTTAATAATTATACATTGATCACTTATTAAAACCAGGCACTGAAGATATCAATCAGCGTGACCTGACCAGTCCCTGCACTCAAGGAACTCATGGGTCCAGGTGCCATGGGCACTTCCCGCTTCCTAAAGGCTTTGGAAGAGACATTCTCACAGGTTAGTTTGTATTTTTCTTCTTCTCCTCCGCCTCTCCCTTCTTTTTAATAAACTTTAGTTTTTAGAACAATTTTAGATTTATAGAATCATTGGAAAGACAGTACAGAGAGATTCCATATACACACACCAGCTTCCCCTATTACTAATATCTTACCTTGAAATGGTACATATAATTGTAATTAATGAACCAATCCCAACACACTGTTATTAAGTCTATACTTAATCAGATTTCTTTAGTTCCCATTAATGTCATTTTTCTGTTCCAAGATCTCATCCAGAACACCACTTTATATTTAGTTGCCATGTTTCCTTAAGACTCTTCTTGGCTGCAATGGTTTCTCAGATGCTCCTTGTTTTTAATGGTCTTTGATAGTTTTTTGTTTTCTTTATTGAAGTATAATTGACCTACGACATCATTACTTTCAGGTGTGCAACCTCATGACTGGCTATTCTTCTGCATTACAAAATAATCACCATAACAAGTGAACTTTGATATTTTTCAGGATTCGTTTGATTTTGCCTGAAAAATAAAGACAGAAGCACTTGATTAAAGGCTGAAACTCACAACTCGTGATTGTTTGTCTAGCTGAGGCAGGACTCGCACTCAAGCTAGATGGCCCTTTGGTGAGGGCTATGCAGAGTTGAGTCAGTGGCTCCTGAGTACTTCATCATGGCCCCGCATCACTGAGCACCTCCAAAAGCAGCTGTATTTCAGACCATTCTCCTGACTCTGGGCAGTGACGGGTGGCCTCTCTGAACCTTTTCTGGTCTACCTGTCTCTCCAGATTCCAAATATTTCTTTGTGCCCAAAGTCCTAGTCGTTTCTTTTGACTAGCAATGAAGTCCAAGTTTTTATCAGCAGAAATCTTGTATCTCCTTACTCAAGGGCAGAGAGAACTCAGTCTTCAAAAACCACAATTGCCTGTTCTCCGCTTCTGGGGGAGGAGGGCGGTTGTTTGCATTTCATCCTTCCAGAACTTCTAACAACTTCTAGTGCAGCAAAGAAAAGACAAAACAGCCAAGTTTACCTCTCAAAACAGATTTAACATTCATATTCTGCGAGACATAATCACAGCAGCAGAGTCAGTACTGTTAACAGAGGTGTGCACAAGACCCTGGTTGAGCAGAGAGGAGGGAGAAATGAAATCCATCGCCTAGGAGAAGGAAGAGGGGCGAGGGTGGGATCAGCAGATACCGTGAGCCTCCTCATAGGTAATGTCTGAACTGAGCCTCCAATAGTGTGTCGTGGGCAGTGCCAGCATCTCAGACAGAAGCCTCAGCAAAGACACGAGGACATGAACAAAGGCATGTTTAAGGACCTGTAGTTCTGAATTGGTGCAGTGTAGAGGGAATATGAAGGAGAGGAGAGGAAGTTGGAAAGACAAGCAGAAATCAATCAGATTGGAAAGTACCTTTTCGTCACTCTAAGGTCTAAGATTGCTGTTGAATGCTCTGAGGTTAGGTCACCTTGCTGGCAGAGCAGCACGGTTTCAGACCTAGACCAGAAAGAGTTAGGATAAAATGGTTAGGAGTCAGTGCACTCAGGGAAGAGAGCTGTCATCCCAAATGGGACCATTTGGTAAAATGGTAAAACAGCACATTTAAATCTTGACTTTTAAAGTTGTTGGCTTGCTCTGCCTGTGGGTTGACTAAAAGTTGGCAATGTAGGATTTAAAACTAGGTTATATAAGACCTTAAAACTTGAGCTGCGTAGATGGAGATGCTCTTTGGTCCAAGAGGAGTCCAGGAGGCTATTTGCCCTCTAGTGGCAACCACAAAGCATTTTCCACTTTGCTAGAAACAGGATTAGAATATACAGCACAGAACAAATCATCTCAAGAAGCTAGCGCTCACTGGACTTCATGAAGCTATCTGAATTACTGCCTAGACTTGAATATCTAGCTTAATACACAAGCCTAAATGAATTCATTGAAACAGAAAAAAAGATGTTTAATAATAAAAACAACCTATCATATATACCACTAGATTATATCACTCTCATTGAAATTATTTACTGCAAATTTTCAGTATTATGTTCAATAGGTAAAAATGTAGTATTGTATCATGATATCTTTAGCTAAGATTTTCGTGTAGAGATTTAATCGTTTAAAATGTATAACAGGAGGATATTTGGAGGTAGAGAGCTAAGTGTCCTTGCATATTCAAGAATCCATCTGAGGCTCTCTCATGGTTCGCTTAGATTCCACACTTGCCATCCAGAGAACTTTGGCTACAATTTAGCATTATAGTTTCCAGCTCATGTCTTTCTTTTTCTTTTCCATATAAATGGTTTATATTCTATTGAGGAACTTTTGGTATTTTAAAGCTTTTAATCTTTAAAATGTTTAGTCTTTAGAGAAGTAAGGCTTTCTCCTGCCTTTGCTAAAGGCATTTCACAGAAACATCTCATTATTTATTTATACGGGTAGATCTCTGGAATAAGGTAACATTACCATTGGCCTGCTGTAGCCTCTGCACACATGACTACATTCATAATTGATGGAAGGGTCTATGCTACTGTTGCAGTTAGAACAAGCCTAAGGTCAGCTCTCTGGAAAAGTAAATCATGTCATTATGTTTGTTAAGAAATGAATAAGCGGCCTAAGTTAAAAATTATCTACAAGGAGACATGCAGGTAGCATGGGTACAGGAAAAGAGAAGGAAGTAGGGGAAGGAAGAGAGAAAGCAAACTGAGGAAAACAAGTCTGGAAGACTGTTTTGAACCATGCATGCCTTGCTAAGAAAGCGATTTTAATTTTCTTTCTGAGTTCTCTCTCTTGTTGGAGCAGGTTAATGATTGACCGCTACGTTAGCCATTTTTGCTGGCAGTTAAGCCCTTAGTGAAACTGAAAGTCTTTGAGAATTAAATTGCCTTAGGAAATTCTGGCCAGATGAACATCCAACGGGCAGGTGAGGTTTTTCCTAGAATGCTTCTGCCCAGGTTTCCTTCCCTTTGAATGACATTATCTCATTAGAGAGTTCTTGTCCATACAATGGATGACTAGTGATGGGATGTAGAATTACTGACATAGAAAGATATTCACCTGTAGCTTAGTGTAGGGGGAAGCAAGTTATAAAATACACACAGAGTGTAATGCCATTTTATGATACATACACATATATATATGTCGATGTAGATAGTCATGTATAGAAAATCATCTAGATTTGCTCTAAATATTAATAGGATTGTCTCAAGTTGGTGGATTGTGGATAATCTTAGTCTGCCCTCTCCTTTTGTAGTTATCTGTATTTTAAAAACTATTTTTTTAAAAGAGGATATAAATGTTTTCTTAAAACAGAAAAGATAGTTACAGTGTAGGTAGGTGACTGTTTGAAAATACTTATATTTATGTGTATGCATACAATTGATCTGGGTTTTAAAAAATTATTCAGAATCTTTCAAGAACTTAAAAAAGTAAACGTGAATGCTAATCTGACTTTAGAGTGGTACAGACTTTTTTCATGTGTTAAAGCAATAAAAAAACCCAAACTACCATAATATATTAATTTATTTTATCACATGATTTTTAAAGCCCCTACAGGTTTTCAAATGGAAATACTGCTTAAATAAGGATTAAAGACACATACGAAACTCAGATAAAATATTTACAATATATAGGACCAGTTAAAAATGCTTGCTAGGCACAGCACCTGGATCAAGGTAAGTGTTTAATAAATATAAGCCACTATTATTAGTTATGTTAATAAAAATAAGCCGTTTACTGCAAATCAGTAAGAAAAACAAAAATTCTCCAAAACTGGACAAATGAACAAACAAGTCCCTAATCATGCAGTGGCTAATGGAATCAATTTTTAACGATCTAATAGTTACAGAAATGCACGTTAAAATTATGTATGTATATGTACCTCTATACACACACCCCCACACACCATTCTTTACCTATCAAATTAACAAAGATTTATTTAAAAGAGGAAAAAAATTGTTTCCAGTGCTGGCAAGGTTTCAGAGAAAGGGGTACTTACATACTATGCAAGTGAGAAAATGAATCAATACAAACTTTTAGATGGTAATTTGTCAGTAAATATTAAAACCTGAAAAATATTTACGCCTTTCAACTCAACAATCCTAGGAGTTTGACATAAAGAAGCTATCAGGAATGTTAACATACATACTTTAAAGACCCAGTCATTTCACTTGCAGGGATTGATCCCAGAAAGAAACGCACATGTGTAAAATGACACAGATGTGGGGTTATTTATGCAGCTTTGTAATAAAAGATTGGAAACAATGTAGGTCACCATCAATAGGAGTGAGATAAATAACTTACAGTGCTTTCAGACAACAGAAAATCATTATGGAGGTATAACAAAATGAAAAAGAATGTGGCTGATATAGAAAAAACCTTGCAATATTTTTAAATTATAAAAAAAGATACAGGATAACGTAAAACTGGGGAAAATAAGAATCTATTTCTACTTGCTTGTGTAGTCATAAAAAACTACTCTGGAAGGGTACCCAAGAACTTAATGAGTGACTTCTGTGGGGTATGAGTGGGAAATGAAGCAGATGCAGGACAAGGATGAGGGGAGAATTTTCTTTCATTTGGTTTTTGAACACGTGAATGCATTCTTTTTTTTTAACTGAATGAATGAATTGAACTTTAAAAAATACTCATAGAATGCAGCTATAATATAGTGTGGAAAAGCCAAGTACCTTTTAAATATCCAGACTGAATAAATACAGTGCCTGAAATTAACTGTGCTTACCCTTTCCTCTTTGAAGACAGAAAATTGCTTTTGTTCTCTTGGCATCCTCATCCCTGAAAAAGTACCTGCACATAGTAGGTACTCAATTATTTTTAGCGAAATGAATGAATCAATGAAGGTTTAAAAGTTAAGTTAGTCACCAAAGAAAAAGCCATAAGGACTTCTCACTTTGAGGATTTTTTTTTCAGCAAAAACTAAAATTATTTTTTGAGAGAAGACTGAAAATAAAAGTTCGAAGGGTCCAAGTAGCTATTTTAAGTACTTACCTCTTTCATCAGCTATACTCCTAAAGATGCTGTTAATTTTAATTGTTCAAGCTAAGATAAAATCAAGTAAAGTAACTGCCGCCCTATGGTACCATATAGCTTCATAAACTAGGTTTATCATTTCCATCGAATAACGTGCCAAATCACTTTTCCCTTTCTTGCCAATGAGAGATATCAGGATATGTTCACAACTAAGCCGTGACAGTTAATGAGGGATAGAAGACACAGAGCTTCGAGAATGTGCTATAAACCATCAAATCCACCACAAAATACACCAAGTATTAAAAATGATCTAGCGTTCATATAATAGTTAGCACTCGGGGAAATGTTCAGGGGCAGAAATGAAGTCTACGAAACGAGCTGGTGACTGTATATTAGGATTAGTGATTCTCAACACTGGCTGCACATTATAATCACCTGGGGAGCTTTTAAAAATACTGATGCCAGGGCTCTGCTCCCAGAGAGTCGGATTAAATTCATGTGGGGTGCAGCCCAGACATTTCTTTTTTTTAAAAAAGGAAAAGCTCCTGGGGTGATGCCGTGTGGAGTCAGGGTTGAAAAACATTGCATTGGAATATAAGAAGGATGGAGGGAGTTCTCTTACAGAAAAAGGATGGCTTAGCTGGTTCCAGCCATTATAACTTAGATAAAACCAACATTTTTCAGATTAAATCTTCCCCTCTATTTCCTCATCTCCCTTGCCCAGACCTTATCCAAAACTCCATGCTTGGACTATAAAATTATTTCGTATAGGTCTGTCTTGTTTTTATTCTTCGTTCATATTTCCACCTTGTACAACAATAACAAATGGCTTCCCTTATATCGAGAACTCTGCTATCTACAGAATGTACGCATTGGCTTCCACTCCGAGCTTGGCCATCACCCAGTGGAATCATTTTGCTGCTCAGTTTCTTCATCCACAACAAATCAGTAGGGACCGACAACTTCTAAGTTTCTTGGCAGCTCTGAAATTGTAAATTTTCTGCTTCATTGCCATACTACCCATCCACCCATATATACCCAATCTCATCTTTTGTAGTGCCCCCCAAATATTTCTTAATTGAAGTCAAACAAAATCCTCTCCACTGCCCTACTTATTTCTTGCTCCTTCCCCTTCACTGCTGTTTTTATTTATGCTGTTTCCTGTCCTGAAAATGTTTTCATTTCCCTCAGCCTATCATCTCCTCAGTCACCTGGCTCAAGCTCACCTCCTCCAGAGGCTTTCAGGAAATGATTTCACTTTACATCCATCATATTCTTATTTTAAGACTTCCTAAATACTTTGTAGTGTAGACCCTCTTTACTCAAAGTGTGGTCCATGGGCCCGCAACACGTGGACGCCTATTCTTCATCCAGAGTTCCAACCCGCAGCTGAGTCTGCATTTCAACCAGATGCCAGGTGACTTGAATGTATATCACACTTTGAGACGCACTGGTCTATAACAGTTCATTAGCATCTCCTTTTGTTTTCTAGTTTAGGTATTACTTTTATATCTTTAAAGTTTTTCAGGCCAGAGATCCTATCTTAACAAATAAAATATCTCTGGTACTTACTATGTATTCACATAGCAGACACTCAGAACTGTTTGTTGAATGAATGATCATCATGTTTACCAGATAGAATTATAGAAATAGTAAACTCAAAATTTAGTTTTAAAGGTTGATAAATACAATGCTGAGCTTATAGAACCTTAGGGACCTTAAGAGAACAGTTCACCAAATCGACCCCTTTTTCAGATGGAGAAACAGGAGGCCCAGTGAGGGAAACGACTGCAGGAGGGAGGGCAGATTTAATATCTATAGTACTCAGGTGATACACTTAAGTTTTCCAGTTTCAGTAACAATGCATCACCAATGTTGACACTGCCAAAAGCCAACAAGTAAGTACCCAAATTATATACTTAGGAATTCAAAGGTATTCATTTAACTCAGGCCTTTACTCAAAGATTATTTGCTCTTGCTTTGTAGATTACCCATCACAATTCAGAGTCCTTACCATGTGTCTGGGAGAGAGCTAAACGCTGGGGATACTGATTAACCATGACGTGGTGCTTGGCCTTCTGGAGGTCACTGTCTAATGGACAGAACGAAGGGACAGAGAAAAAAAGAAAGCATAAAAACACTGAAAAATTGGAGCCTTTCAGCTTCTACGCCTTTCAAGGTACTGTACAGTACAGCACAATGGAAAAAAGGAAGAAAATGCAGTCCGCTCCAGGCCGAATCACGGGTTCCTTACATGTCTTTCTTCCCTGTACAATTTTGAGCTCTTTTGAGCCCTATGATTTTTTTATTTTTATTTTTAAAATTTTTTGTTGTGATACTAGCACAATGCAGAGCACACAGTAAGGCCGCAGTGAAGGAATCCCACACTTTGGAGGTCCACTTTATCTACAAGGGCAAGTTTTATTTTGTTTTCCCTTTTTTAATGAGTAAGTGACATAGTCACTAAGTGGAAAACAGGTCTTCTCTAAGGGAACCCTGCC